GGGGCTGGTCGGGGCTGGGTGGTGGGTCGGTCTGGGCTCTGTTCCGTGGCTGGTCGGGGCTGGGTGGTGGGTCGGTCTGGGCTCTGCTCTGTGGCTGGTCGGTGCTGGGTGGTGGGTCGGTCTGGACGTGGGCTCTGCTCCCCGGCATTGGACTCCCAGAGGCAGCTGCCCCGCACCTGGTGGGCCCTGTGCTCTTCTTGGTCTACTCTCTGTCTGGTTTTCAACACGTGTTTATATTTTAAGCGCTTTTCAAGATGCTGAACTTAATTCATTAGGGTTTCTGAAACACAATTAGGATCTCTGGCAGGCTCTGGAACAGAAGCAGGGTGCAGAGGCCCGGTGCAGGGTGGAGCCCAGCAGGGAAGAGACACTCAGGTCCCCGAGCGTCGGGGAGTGAGGACGTGCGGTGCCAGGCTGCCCGGCTAATTAGGTTTGCATCAGCTCCGGAGGGACGGCTGAGGCGGCATCTCCCTCAGAGCAACCTTGGCCAGGCTTCGCACTGAGCATTTTGCAGGACAGGACAGAGCTGGCTGTGCTGTGGCCAGGACCCGAGGACCTGCCTGCTGTCACCTGTAGCTCAGCTGCCTCCCCGTCCCTGTCCCCAAGGACACCCTGCCCGGCCCTGGTTTGCTCCGTCCAGAGGAAGGAGAGGCAAAGACCCTTGTGGGGTCCGCCGCGGACAAGTTGTCCTCGAGACTTGGGAGAACCATGTTAATAACGTGCTGCTAAAAACCCACCCGGCTGAGCACACGGGGTGACGTCTCCTCCAAATAAGGGCCTCAATCGCCCCCAGCTGGGTGGCAGGAGCAGCGCCTTGCAGGCGGGAGCGAGGGCTCGCTGTCACTCCGGGCGGCGGTTCTCTGTCTCTGCATGGCCCTGAGCATGCAAGCCCCTCGCGGGAGCCCACGTGGGCTGTTGCCTACCTGAACACGGGTGCTCCTGGCACCCTGCGGGGTTCGTGTATTCACGGTGCTTGTGGACATCGTCCCTGAGGGCGCCTGGCGGGTGGGCTGGCAGTGGGAGGAGGGGCAGTGGGAGGACGTGGGGCAGGGGAGGGCGTCTGCGGCCCCCTTTCCTGGAACAAGAGCCCTGGTGGGAA